TGAGAATAATCCAACAAAGGAATTGTTATTTCTACTTAAGATAAAAAAAAAGAAAAAATAGGTAATTAGAGAGCATGAACTTCCTCTCTTCGGTTCTCATATTTACAATGAAAATTCATAGACATAATGAGTAAAGGGAAAATGAAAAGACCTATTCTAGAAAACAGGTACAAATAAAGATCCAACCCTAAATACACATGCTTTTAGAAATTAGATGCAATTGCCTATTTAATATCTAATAAATCTAACACTTACCCTCAAGCTGAAGTATATAAATTATATATATCAAGCTTGGAACAAACGAATTCGATTCGAGGACCTCTCAAAGATTTTGTTAATGCATCTCCAAGTTGATCATTAGATCTAACAAACTCAATACAAATTTCTTTGGACAATAACTTTTCTTGAATAAAGCGACAATCAATTTCAATGTACTTAGTTGTCTCATGGAATACTGGATTTGGAGCAATGTGGAGAGTAATCTAGTTATCACAATACATCTTCATTTTTGAATCTCACAAAAGTTTAACTCCGGAAGGAACTATTTCACCCATACAAGTTCACATGTAAGAGATGTCAGTATCTTATATTCAGCTTCAGCAGATGATCGAGCAACTACGCTTTGTTTCTTACTTTTCCACAAAATAACATTTCCTCCAAGACAGACACAATATTCTATAGTAGATTGTTTGTCCATAGGAGATCCTACCTAGTTAGCATCACAATACCCAGAGATTTGGGTATTTCCTTTATTTTCATATAATAATCCTTGTCTTGGACGCTTTTTTGAGTACCTCAGGATACGTATAATAACATTCCAATGATAATATTAGTAAGATAAATAAGTTTCCCAACTAGTCTTCTATTTCTCTAGATCAAGGAAATATTCACTCTGTTCTGCCATTAATTTATGATTTGGGTCCATAAGACTATCCACGAATTTACAATCAATTATACATATCTCTTTTAAGATATCTAGAGTATATTTTTTTTTAGAGATTATAACACCTTCTTTGTTCTGGGCTACTTCAATTCCCAAGTATTTGAGACTTCCAAAATCCTTAGTCTGAAAATGGTTGAATAAGGGTTCCTTTAGCTGAGATATTCTGGCAGAATAATTTCCTGTAATGACTATATCATCAACATATACAACTAAGTAGACGCATTTTCCACGGACGATGTGATAGTAGAAGACTGAATGATTTGCTTTACTTTGTTTAAACTGAAAGACGCATTATTACTTTAGACCATAAAGAGAACATTGCAACTTATATACTAAACCAAACTCCCTCTGAGCAACAAAGGCAGGAGGTTACTCCATGTAGACTTCCTCTTCTAGATCACAACGAAGAAAGGCATTCTTAATATCCAAATGAAGCAAAAGTCAATGACAAATGACAATCATGGCAAGGAAAAGACTCACAGTAGTCATTTTGGCCACAGGAGAGAAAGTATCACCATAATCAAGACCATAGATTTGAGTCTACCCTTTGGCCACCAGTCTAGCTTTGAGGCGATTAACTTCACTATTAGGTTCGACCTTAATGGTATAGACCAAACGACAACCAATAGTTTTCGGAAAGAAAGAGGAACCAACTCCCATTTGTCATTATGTTAAAGAGCCTAAATTTCAAAATCATGACTTGTTGTCATCCAAGAAGATCAAGTACTTTGGTCACATTTTTAGGAATAGAGATAGAGTATATAGAAGATATAAAAGGAAAATATGAAGGAAATAATTTGTGGTAGCTAAGGAAATTATAAATAGGATGTGGATTACGAGTAGAATGAGTACCCTTGCGAGTGACAATGAGCCAACATGAGTCATGATTATCAGGAGCCGTGGTATTGAGTGATGATTGGAAAGGACCTATTGATGGGGACTCACCTTGGGGCATTGAATCTTGAATAGGATTTTGGTTGACAGGAACAGAGGGAACTAAGGACTTCATTAAAGGTACAAGAAGGACATGTTGGACAGAACTAATATCCTATACAGACAAGGAAAGAATGGAGTTGATTCAAAAAAGATGACATTAGTATTTCGGGATTTTCGGAAAGTAACAATGATATCCTTTTTTAAGACAAGAATATCGCAAAAAGACACATTTGATACTTCTAGCTAAGAGTTTGTCTAAACCTAAAAACATATCATGAACAAAACATACACAAACAAAGACACAAGGAGAAACATGAAAAAGTGGTTCCTTTGGAAATAGAATGGAGAATGGAACTTTATTGTCAAAGGAAGAAGAAGGCATTTTGTTAATAAGAAAACAGGTAATGAGGATAGTATCTCCCTAATGATGAATATGCATATTTACACCAAGTAATAAGGTACGAGTAGTTTCAACTAAATGTCTATTTCTTTTTTCTACTATACCATTTTGTTGTGATGTGTGAGGATAAGTACACTAATGTAAAATGTCTTGAGATTTTAAGGTGGTGGAAAAAGTAGTGGAGAAATATCCTTTGGCATTATCACTCCATAGAACATTAATTATTTTTTCAAATTGATTTTTGACTTCATTAAGGAAAGAAATGAAGATAGATAAAAGTTCAAAACAATCTTTCATTCGATAAACCCAAGTAGATCTAGAGAACTCATCAATAAATGCAATAAAATATCTGAAACCAAAAGAGGATACATGACTAGCTCCTCATATATCAGTAGTTGGCATAATTCACATTTCAAAGTTTGAAGACTACTCAATTCAGGAACCATCTCTTTCAATTTTGATAAGTGAGGGTGACCTAAGCGCTCATGAAACAGTTTAGGAGATGAAGATGTAACACAAGATACTGATGACTTAGCCCCAAAGTAGTATAAGCCTCTTGATTCATGTACTTCGCTAATTAGTCGACTCGTACCATGTTCCTGTATAACAAGAGTTGGCATTAAAGGTTACTAAATAGCTCAATGGTTTACCTGGTTGACTTAAAGAAATAAGACTAAAGGGACATGAAGGAACAAATAGGACAAATTTTAACCTTTAGAGGCTACTTTAGAACTGTTAGCCAGAGTTATGAAAGGAGGAGTTTTAGGCAATGAATGAGTAAAGAATAACGAGGGGTTACCAAACATATTATCAGGAGCATCTGAGTCAATGATCCATGGATTTTGACAATCCACATATTGGGAAATGTCTGGAAATGCAAGCTATTGACGAATTTGGAGTTGTTAATGATTGTGTTTGGCTTGTGAACTTCAACTTCAAATATTTCTCATTAGAGAATTTGGGCTCAATCACTTTTGTTTTAGAAATATAGATAGGCTTGTTAGGGAAACCATGTAAAGAAAAACAATTTTCTTAGGTATGACCCGTTTTCTTGCAATAGGTGCATTAAAGACGTCCTTTACCATCACGTCTTCCTCTAAAACCACAACTTCCGCTTTCGCAAGTACATATCATGACGGAAGATTCAACTGGTACCTGAACATTTTTATTCTTAAGGGTTGGAACCCAAAAAAGTCGTGTAGTTAAACTTCCCATAGAAGGAACTTCTTCACCCGTTAAGATTTTATCTTTGACATGATCAAAATTTGGATTCATGGCCCGGAGAATCATAATCATAAAAAATATATTCAGTTTCCTCTTTATGTTTTCTACTAAATCTTCCTCCAAGAAAATCTTCAGTTCTTCAACATGTGATTAAGCTTCAGCAATAAAAGACATCATATCATCATCTGCTTGTTTGAGGAAGGCAAGTTGATTAGCATAATTATAAAGACAATGATATCATTTGCAAAGATGTTTTGGGCCTTTTTCCAAATGAAGTTACATGTTTTAAAGGGTTTTAGAATGCTCAAAATATTTGGTTCTACTAACTGTCATAGTAGAGCACATAACTGAAAATCAATTTTCTTCCACTATTAAGCTTGGTCTGATGGAGCATCCCTTCCGTCCTTTCCTAGGTGATCTAGGAACTAGAGTTCCACTGAAGCATACCATGACAATTTATTTTTTCCATTTACTTTCGGATGTTATAATGGGAGACTCAAAAAAGGAGGTTGCAGGCCCTGAAGCCATGTTTACATGGACAGTGGCAATGGTCGTGGCGCACAGCAAGCAGGCGACGATGGTGGCGGACAACAGCGACAAATAGCGATCGATGGCAGCAGATGACACACAGTTATGGTGGTGGTAGACGATGGATGATGGTCAACGACGACAAGGGACGACAGGCGGCGGTCGATGGCGACGACGAACAGCGGTCGCAGACAAGGTCAGGTAGAGTAGGATCAACCCGCTCTGATACCAACTTAAGATAAAAATGGAAAAATAAGGAATTAGAGAGCTTGAACTCCCTCTCTTAGGTTCTCTTATTTATAATGAAAGTTCATAAACATAATGAATAGAGGGAAAATGAAAAGACCTATTCTAGAAACTAGATACAAATAAAGATGCATCCCATAAATACACATGCTTCTAGAAATTAGGTACAATTGTCTATTTAATATCTAATAAATCTAACATTTCTCAAAGAAAATATGCATTGAATATTTTAGAAGAAACTTGATTAATGAATTCCAAGCCTATTGACTCACCCATGAATCCAAATACAAAACTTTTACTCAAAAAGAAAGAGCCACTTCTTGATCATGAGAAATACAAAAGGCTTGTTGGAAAAAAGAACTATCTTCACAAAACCACATTAATGGAATTGAATTCAATAATATAAATGGAAAAAAATGTTTTTCTTTCGAAATAAGGAAATACTACTATATTATATTAGACATTCATGAAGTGGCCACGTCAATAAATGTAGGCAATATAGTTACATATTAAAATTCAGAAATAAAGCCTAGACAATGGGCCAGTTTGTTTAAACATAAAATAATTGTTTTTGAAATAAGTACTTTTTAAAACAATTACTTATTTAAGAAGCAGATTTGTTTTGCCTATTTACTCAAAAGGGAACGTAATTAAGCGGCAACAAGCACTTCCAATTTTTTGCTTAAATTAAAATTATACAGAAACCGAGAAAGTAAAGACAGATTAAAGACATGTTCTTACAAGCAACTGGTTGTGAACAAGCTCTTGCCTTGATTCCTGAAAAAAGCAGAGTTTAGATTAGTAAGCAATCATCAACTTCAGTTTTTTAACATATGCATACTAGCAGAAAAAACTGTACTTGTTCCTGAAGTGCATGTTTAAGTTGAGAAAGCAATGAAGCCCTTGCAGCCTCCGCATTTTCTAGTTGCTCCATATATTGTGTAAGTTTTTTTTCCTGCTCTTGTAAGTCACTAAGTAAGTCATTCACCATAGTGGATCCCAACTGGTTTCCTGATGTGATATCCAACCAATTGTCAGCATAACCAAATATAATTAAGTATTGTTTTGCTCTACCGATAGAAATATATAAAATCTATACTAATCTGCCTGAATTACAGAAGAGACGACAAGCCATGCAAGTCTTCAAATGCCCCAAAATTCAGGTAAGTGCAATACACATTGTATCCTATGTATAGTAATAATGACAATACCCTAATAAGAAAATCCATATTCATGACCGACACTAGCAAAATATCCATAAGTCTCTGAGAGGGCTCCACATCAAATTTTTTGTGTTCCAAACATGGTACACACAAATTGTATCTCCGTCTTTAGGGGAGTGTTAGAAAGTAAAATGGTAGCAGTTGTCTAGCTTGTAGAAGTTGATCATATTGTAATTGACGTAGTAGGTGTAGTCATTGTAACTTCATTTTACCTTTTCCTTTGTCACGTCTTTTATTTATTTTATATATATATATATATATATATATATATATGTGTGTGTGTGTGTGTGTGTGTGTGATTGTCATCTAACTGAATACACGCATTCAAGCTTTCATCTAAATTATCTTTTTTCAAACAATAACCTAAAAGACGGGTTTAGATTCTCCCAAGTGACATTTTCACTAAAAGAGATCCTAACCCTTGCGAAAATTGTTAAAAACGATATTTTAATATAAAGTGAAATTATTATAAAATCAATAGTGAGAACATCATACTTGAGAATCTCATGTTTATTTTAACATGATCACCTACATGACCTACTATTAGTTCTTTTTTTCATATTCAATCTGTCACAACCAAGTATGACCTAAGAATTAAAATTTGCACCTAATCTTTTAAAATTTTAAAATTGGTGTTTCAGTTATAATAACCATTCCTTCAAAACCATCTACAATTAGTCCTCAAGTGTTATACCTAAAAAAATGTAAAAAGAAAAGATTAATCATCATCTAATAGATGCAAGTAATTTAAATATTTTCCATGCGTGCAACATAATGTGTGCATCAGTCAAGCGAGAGTGGCAGGCAAAACATATTTAGTTCCTCCAGCAATCTTTACCTTGAGCCAATGTATGTTGTACATCTTCCACAATTTTACCCACATCATGCACAGCAGCAGTGCAGTTGTTTAAAGCAGCTTCCTCATTAAGATGTTCATCAATAACAGGCTGAAATGCTGTTAGTATTTTCTCTGGCAAACACCCAACAGCCAGTTTCTGCAATGAAGATTACCAAGTATTGGCACACCTCAAAATCAGAAATATCAAAACATCTAACAGGCAACAGAGCAAAATCAGATGTGCTACTGCAACTTGCTTACTATTCTCACTGAGTAGGCATCCCTCTTCGCTATCTTGATTGCAGGTAGAAGGTGATTCTTACCCATTATTTCAACCTTGAGACCTTGACCTCGTGAACCAAGAACCTTCCTCTCCTCCCATATGTCAATCTATTAACAGTCCAAACCAACACAACAATCCCAAAAAAGATTCAATCAAAAAGGAAATAAAGAGAATGAAAGGTCAACTTGGAAAAAATGCTAATTGATAAGACGAATGACATAAGAAAAAGAACTCAGAAAATAAGGTTAGTAACTTATGGCTGGCAAATAAAAAGAGCAGGATACCCCAATCCCACTAATGGGTGTTCACTACAAGTGAATTCTCTAATACATCATTTATGATTTAAATATTAAGAGTACACACAAACCCCTTACATGAGCAAACAAGACATTTTTTCCTTTACATGGTATGACAACCTAGGAAGCACAAATCCAATACCCGATATTGAACATGTAGAAATCATATGACGCAACACAACAAGAATATGGAAAATTTTAAAAATGGAGATGATTGAATATATTTAATTAATAGAGTTAAATAGATTCAGAGATTAAGAATACAAAAACACAAACCCCCTACATGACCGAACAAAACACAACTTCTTCTGTTATTTTGACAACCTAGCAATATAGATACTCATGAGAATTTTTAAGGTTTTGTGTGCATGTATTTTTAATATATCATATGGGTATATTTCTATTCATGTACTCTATGTATATATAGAGTAAAAATATTACAAAATATCAAATATTCATAATATCTCAATCATAACTGCCTAAATCAAAATAATAACATAATATCTTTTTAACTTCTCTCTTAAAAAATAATAAAATCTCTTAATACCTAATTTAAATAAAAGATAATAAAGTAATATTCTCAACATTCCTCCTTACTTTAATATCTATTTATTTAAATTTGATAAATTTGTTTTATTTTGCTTCTAATTTTTCCTCCTTTTTTGTTTGTACTTCTTGTCATCTTCTTTCTTGTATGAGATCACATCTTCACTCAACTTTATTTTCTTCATCAAAGTATTTCTTCCTTTATCAACTTCATCTCCTTTGTTTCTTTCAAACTTCATGGTAGTACTGTTGACTCTTTGATGGACGTTGAAAACGGTTTCTTATCTACATCTTTATTTTCCTTTTTAACATCAAGTTCCTTCAAAAAATCTTCTTCATGTTTTTTCTTTGACTTTTCTTTTATATCTTCATTTGTAATCATCTCTTCTTTCATCAAATCTAAAATGAAACTTTTTTCTTTCATGTGAACTTTGAATATTTTCAAGTTATTTGTATCTTTAATCACACAAAGTTTGTGTTCAAAAGACACCTTATAACTTTTTCTCCAATAATTGAGCTACACTTAAAAAATTATGATTAATATCAGGAACATATAAAATATCAAAAATTAATTTGATACCCGAATGACTTTTAACTGCAATTGTTCGTGTACCTTTCACGTCCATTACCGATTCTCACTTTAGAAATATGTGATTCTTTAAACTCTTTGAAAAGTTCTCGATCATGAGTCATGTGGTTTGTATAACCATTGTCTATAAGTCAATCTGTGGATTTGTTGATTGTAGAACATGTTGATGCAAGGAGAAGTACCTCTTCTACTCTATCCTCTATAACTTGAACGATTTCCTCTGGTTGTGATTTGTATATTTTTTCTATATGTCCCAATTGACCACATTTGTAACATTTCACATCAGGCCTCCACCAACACTTGTTGGGTGTATGATTATTTTTCTTGCAATAAGGACAAACAGAAAAGACTCGTGATTTTGTACCTTTGTTGTTCTTGGCTTGGAGAGAACCTTCATCATGATATAATAAAGAACCTTCACCAGCAGCATGATCTCCTCTCATCAATCTTCGTTGCTCTTGCGCTTGTAAAGCATGTAGCACTTCTCGAATTTTTTCATCCGCTTCATATTGATCTTTCAAATAATCCCAAATTTATTTAGGTGACTTTAACGGCATGATTCTGGTGAGGATCATTTGTAAAACACCAGCAAACAAACATGATTTAGTTTTTACCTTCCTCGTTTTTCTTTCTTTGTGAAATTTCATTTCAGCTATGGTGGGATTTTCAGGTAGCGGATCAACAATATAATCTTCTTCTACAGCTTCCCATACATCCAATCCTTCAAGATAGGATTGCATTCTCACACCCCATAAGTCATAACTTTCGCCATCAAAATTTGGAATAACGACTTGTGAAAAATTTCTTTCTCCTTCCATTGTGTCGAACCAAAGCTCTAATACCAATTTGTTGAGAATTTTTAAGGTTTTGTGTAAATGTATTTATGATATATCATGTGGGTATATTTCTATTCATGTACTATATATATATATATATATATATATATATATATATAGAGTAAAAATATTACAAAATATCAAATATTCATAATATCTCAATCATAATTGCCTAAATCAAAATAATAACCTAATGTCTTTTTATCTTCCCCCTTAAAAGATAATAAAATCTCTTAATATCTAATTTAAATAAAAGATAATAAAGTAATATTCCCAACAGATACTAGATACGACCAAACACAGATCAAGAATATGACAAATTTTAGAAAAGGATACAACAAAATATAAAACTAGTAGAGTTAGCATAAAATAAAAAATTTAAATCACAAGAGAACTCATGTTTTAAAAGTGAAAACAAGGCATTATAAACATAATACAATACAAAATGTATCTAATTATTGTGGTATTCTAATCAGGATTGGTATAGAAGTTTAAAAAATGAAGGAACAAGACATCAGAATTTGGATTTTTAGATTTTTATTGCAATTCGCATGTATTTTTTTGTAAATTTTTGCATTGTTCCTTTCTTGATTTTGGATGTGTTTTCATAACTTTATGTAATTAGAGATTTATAGGATTTAAATCGCTTATTGGATGAGCCTACTTAGGTTCATAGTATATAAGATTCTTTCTAAAGCTTTTTACTCATAATAAAATTTGAGAAAATTAAAAAACTTGCCTTTGTGAGAGAATCTTCCTTGGCTTATCAATCTATTGGGAAATCCAAGTGAGTCTAAGTTCCATATTAAGTAAAATGAGGAAGTTGAGCAACATATAAAGAAGAAGATTCATAACCTAATGCCTTAAGGTTTTTGGTTGAAGTTCGTGTCAATCCTTATTTGAATTAAGTTCATGTCTCATTGGTATTGTCCCTTTCCTAGTGAATCCCCCCTCGAAAGACTCATCAGTGGTATCAAAAGGCGAAGGTTTGTCTTAACGACTAGCTATGTAAGATTGGTTCCTATATTGAAAGTCTTCCTGACCAAGGGTCAGGCAAGTGTGTCCCACTATGATGAATAGCGGTACAAGTAACGGTCACTAGTAAGCTCAAGGAAGATGTACAAATGTGAAGGGAATCATGGTTAAGAGAGAGATTATTGAGAGATCCAAGTGTGAGTCTAAGTCCTACATTGAGTAAAAATGAGTAAGTTGAGCAACATATAAGGAAGAAGACTTATAAGATAATGCCTTCAGGTTTTTGGTTGAAAGTAAATCCCTTGTGTGGATTGGATTCATGCCATTGGTGATGTCACTTCCAAATAAATCCCCCCCTCGAAAGACTTATCATAATCTTCATCGTGAAGTCTTCAACTTATCAATCAAGATTGTGATATCTTCTTCACTTCTTATCTTTGTTTCATTTACTATTTTCTTTAATTGTACGATGAAAATTGTCCAAAACAATCCGCTAATCATAATTTGAGGTTAGATCCTTATTATGTGGTATTCAGAGCTTATTTTTGACATTTATGTAACATTTTTTGAAAAAATTTCATAATTTTTAAACGTTATAGCAACCTTCAGATTAAGTGGTACAAATAGCAATTTAGTGAATCTTGAGGTCAAATTGAGTGAAGCCAAACAACTTGCGGATCAAAATTTTGTGCTCACATATAATAGTTGGGAGCATAATGTAGCGCTTGAATAATGGTTGAATCAAATTTTTTTATTGTGAACTATTCAATTGGAGATCATTTGATGGGAAACAAGTGGCTCATTATTTGTCAACTTCGCATGTTTTAGCAAATCATATCCATTCCTCAATTCAAGCAAAACCTGAAACATGCATCGTTTGGGAAAATTCATTTAAAAGATTTTGTTCCAAGCATGAGTTGATTCAAAACTAGTGTTTGTCTCCAATTAAAAGCAAGTGAACATTTAACTTATTTGATTGGTGCCTTCTTGCTTAATCCAATTCAATCAGAATTGCTTTCGATTCAATTATTGGCATATTCAAGATCAAGAGATCGTGTGAAATGTTGTGCAGGCACATAATATTGTTCTAACATTCAATGAGTAATCCACTTAATCATGTGAAGCAAAGATCAAAGAAGTGTTGAGCATTGAAGTTGTCCTGCTTCATTGCAAGTTGAAAGAACAATTAATAATTGATTTTAAAGGGTGGAAGCAAAACACTTGCTGTGCAAGTCAATGAATGTTTAATTTGATGCCTATGTTGGTGTGCCTAATATGATGCATTGATGCTAACTCTAGAGCTTATCTTGGTGCTAACATTGGTATTGGTTTGTTTTTGGTTTTGGCTCAAAATCTTGCCTAGCCAAAAATACGACCATATGCCTATGCCAGTGTTAATTCTAGTGTATTGATGCCTATTCCAGTGTTCACTCTAGTGCACATTCTAGTGCTAGTTCTTATGTAGATACCTAGACTGGTTGCATATCCTTGCTTGTTTAAGTCATTTGTTTTTTATTCTTAACTTTCTTTTCTTTGATTACTTTGTTCATTGATTTCCTTTGAGTTTTAATTCCTCGATTTATAATTGTGTGACATAATTAATTTAACTTACTAGCTTTGTTTTACATTCCTAACCTTCTTAGTTTTGTCACATTTGTACTTCATTCATTTAGCTAATTTTTTTATTTTTGTGCATTTTAGTTAGTCTTTTTAAAATTCCTTGGTTGTCTTATTCCCCCACTTTCTTGACCTTGAGTTGAGCAAGTGTTATCAATATCAGATAACGAAAAATATTAGTAATCCAAAAGTCCTTTATGAAAATATATCAAATTTCATATTGGGTTATGGTGAAAGTATTGCAGACAAAAAATATAATATATAAATATGAATAAATAAATAAATAAAATATATGAATATAATTTAAATGTAAAAAATCATAAGTAATCACATAATTAATAATATGGTCTAAATTTTTAAAGAACAATTAAATTAAAGCAAAATACCATCAAATTCAAGTTCTAAAAATATGGGCGGAGTGACCTAGAATGAAAAGAAAATAAACAAAAGGGAAGAAAAACGGATGATTCATCTTGTTGCAGATGAATGAAGAATGAAAAAAAAAAGGGTTGAACTGAGAAAGAAAGAAAAGAAAAATAAAATACAAGAAAAAAATCACAAATTCACAGTGTGGCAATGGCGATGGCCACAACAGTGACAGCGGTAGTGAAATTGCCAATGGAGACTGTGGTGGCAGTTGTGATAGTGGTGGCAGTGCAATTGGAGGAAAGTGCAAAATAGGTTATAAAATAATCTAACCTTTTGTTTGCTAGTTGTCATTTATGTTGGGTTGTATGACCCACCATTTTTTAAAGGTTTTTTTGGTTGCTATTGGGCTAGGTCTCTTATAAACCCATACATGAGATCAAAACATCATATGTTCAAAGTAAAAACCCCAATTAATGGTGGGTCAAGTTGAGTTCCACAAACCCAACACATCTTCTACCTCTGGATGCAAGTCGTGCAGTTGCGACAATGAGATGTTTGCCATGACCACTCTGCAGTGCCATTCCGTTACAGCCAAAGAAGCCGCCATGGCTCACCGTGCAACACTTGTCTCCCCACCACCTTCCTGTGGCGGCCAACAAAACTTTAGCCACCAATTTCCACCATGGCCATTTTTCGATATCACTAAGTTAAGCTTGAATTTGTTACATCTTTCACTTTAAATATAATTATTGATGCATTGATTGAGAATTCTTTTTAAGAACTAGATTGAAAATAGTGTGTAGCCTTTTAAAAATGATATACAAGTAATTGAGTGTAAAGAATTAGCGAATGGTGAGGTCCATGTTAGTGCTAACCATTTTTGTTTGTGTAGGTATGTTTTGTGCTCCTTACAAGAAGAATAATATGAAATTGGCAAACAGTCACCACATTTGAAGGATCAAATGATCTCAAAGCATATCTTTAGTGCAAGAGTAAAGCTGAAAGAGTTCTTCCATTATTTGCTAATTATGATGACTTTCAAAAAAATCATTTGTGTTTTTAAAGATTTTAAGGTTTATGTTGCAAATTGGTGGGAGTAAAAGCATTATGAAGGTGCAATTGGTAGTGATCATTAATTTTGACATGGAATGATTAGAAAGCTAGTACAAGGAAAAATAATTTACCACCTTTCTGTGAGACACAAAAGAGAGAAAGAGATTAGAAAACTAAAAACAAAGCATAAAGAGATTAAAGCAAAAAGAGAAAGCCTCGGAAAAGAGATGAGAGAATAAAAAAACAAAGAAAAAGAGAAAAAGAAGAGAGAGTAAAAAGAGAAAATAAAGAACAAGAGAGGAGAGAAAAAGAAGCGAAAGATCAAGAGAGAAATTGAAGAAAAAGAGCAAAAAGAAAGAGAAGAAAATATTATAACTTTTTTTTTTATATTGTTAATCATGTGAATCCTTTTATTCATTTGCCTATGGAAGAATTGTTTGTTAAGGACCAATGGCAACTACAGTTTAGAGAAGAAAATGAGATTAATGAAGAAGCAAGCATAGTATTGGATGAAGTCAAGAACTGAGCTAGTCCTTTGAATGTCAAAATTTGTGGTAATTGATTTAGTTGACCATACTAAGTATGTTACATTAAAATATGGTAAACATTGAATGGACTCTCAAGGATTATTCCCATTGCATGATGTTACTTGTGTGGATGATGAGTTGTATAGGCATGGAAAACATAAGTTGAAAATGTTATTTGTAATATGCATACATCCTTATTGTTTGATTATTTGATTAATAGAATTCATATTGAACCTTACTTAATTTTTCATTTCTTGCATATGACTGAATTGATTTTGAAGCTTATGATTAATCATTTGACTTTCTTACTATTTGATGTTTCACATAAGATGGTCTTTGATATCGAAGGATGTCATACAAGCTCCCTAATAATAAGAGATTTGCCTTTCACTAGATTCAAATCTTAATATAGATAGATTTTCTCTTATTTTAGAGGACTTTACCTTTGAGTTAATTCAACATTTATGTTTGTGTGTTTGTTTGTAGGTAACAGACAATTGAATTCATGGACAAATTCTTTTCAACATGGGGAGGATGATGAGTCCATGAAGGGGTCAACAACAAATTTAGAATTTTTATATTTTAATTGTATTCCAATGTACTTTTTTGTAAATTCTTGTCTTAGGTATGTGTTTCCATAACTTTATGTAATTAGTACTTCTTAGAAATTAGTTCTATTATGATTTAGATGTCTTATTGGATAAGCCTACTTAGAGAGTGGGCCTTGAGCTTAAGTCTTAAGTTCATAGTATATAAGAATCTTTGTAAATTATTTCACTCATGGTATAGATTTTGAGAAAATTGAATATTAGCCTTGTGAAAGAATTTCTCTTTATTCGTTTTTTTTTTAAACGGTTGATTCTTATCTTTGAATTTTTTATTTAGAATAACAAATCTCCCTCAACTTATCAATCTTCATCGTTGCATCTTTAACTTATCGATCAAGATTTTGTCATCTTTATTTCTTATCTCTACATGTATTTTCTACTTTTTTTAATTGTTCAGTGTAAATTGTTTACGGCGATCCACAATCATAATTCAAGATTAGATCCTTATGAAGAAATGCAATCAGAATACAAAGTATAGAAGAAAAAAAAATTGCTACATTTAGGTGACAAATACTAACAAGTAAAATCAGATTTTTTTTGGAGTAGACAAGTTAAGCTATTCTAATAAGATTGATTATTTCAACAGTTGCAACCAAAGGTTCTACCATAACTCCTAAATGGAACCTTTTATCATGTAACAAATAATTCACTAAAAATACAAAACTCCTCACTATTTGAAGGACCTAGCCAAATCTTAATTGGTAATGGGCTAGGTCTAATCATTTCTAATTTTGATTATCTAGTTTACAGTCACCCTATAATCCTAACATCCAACTCATTCTTCATAATTTGTTAGTGTTCCTTAGGAGTGTCAATATAGATGATAACCCGTGAGCCAACTTGGTTCACCACGAGTTTGAGTCAGGTTAGGTTCAATTTTTTCCAATTCTACCAATAATGGGCTATAAAAATGAACTCAGCCCACTTAACTTACGGGTTCGAGCCGGGTTATGGTGGGTTGGCCTGCAACCCACCATTCATTTTAAATTTTAAAAATAATTATAATAATTTAATAACCCTAATTTCATCCTGCTTCTCCACCTCTACTCCACGTCACCACTACAAGTCAAACCCTCACTCAAGCTTGATGTAAGTTGTCCACCGCACCACAACATTCGACGCTGCACATGGGTCACTTGCCATTCGTCCACTGCACTACCATGCCACCATGTTCGTTGCGTTTGTTGTGCCACCGCGCCATAACATTTTCCACTCCACAACATTTGTTGCATTTCAATTGTGTCACAGCGTTTGTCGTATCACCACGCCATTACATTTCAATCTCACGTTTCAGTCACACCACAACATCTACCATGCCACCGCGTTCGTCCTGCTACCGCGCTACAGCGTTTGCCGCACTTCAGTCGCGCCACAATGTTTATCTTGTCACCATGCCACCGTATTTCAATCCCACAATTCAATCGTGCTTATTAGAAAAAAAATTGAAGAACAAAAAAAATAAATATGGACTAGTAAGTCAATCCACCAACCCGTAGTGGGTTGAGCCAGGTTGTGAAATTTTTTGTTCGCCATAAAGTGAGTCGAGTTGAGCTCACCTATTTTAAACTCAACCTATGGTGAGCCAACCCGTGTGAGCCAAGTTGGCTCACTTTGACGGCCCTAGTGTTCCTATATGACAAAAAATCTCATTAGCATATGCAAACTTCTTGTGCAGCAAGATCAGAGGCGTGATCCATTTACTAAGACTTTGTCATCTACTAGATTTTCTTTATTTAGGATAAACTCAATGTACTAGAGCATCCTTTACTTTCTCAGTCACCTTGAGTTTGCAAGGGGATGGGAGTGTATAACTCCATTGTATAAGATAAAACTATTGTTAATATAGTAATTGGTTATCACTTAGCTGTAACTAATTTAGTTACCAGTTGTCTATTCATTTCTCTTCATTAACAAGAAATGGGCAGTCAAATGCATTCTGTTCAAAGAAAAAGGGAAGGGTTGTCAAAGCATCCCCAAAAGGGATGAGGTAAGATGAAACTGAACCTTGAGGCTACAGAAGGGGAGTTGTCGACAATTCTTTTTGTGGTAGTGGCAGTGGACACTAGCAAAGGGTGCCATGTGGCTTACAAGCACCATTGACAAAAGCAATGCTCAGCAGCAACTAAAGTTGCAACCCGCATTGCTCAAAATACACCAATCTAGTACTAGCACATTGTCCCTGCAACAGTGGCAGACAACAACAACTAGTGGCAACGAAAAAAAAAAATTATGAGGGCTCTAATACCAACTTGAAAAGAGAAGAACTTTGACAAGAGGAATTGAAAATTATTTGGTGAGTTTGCAATACAAGCAATAATCCCCTATTATAGTGTAAATTTATAAAAGGGAATAGGGATAATCTAAACATAAAAAGGGAAATAGGTAATGTAGGAAGAAAATAAAGTATCCTAATAGTCACAAATATAAAAGGCAAGCTTAATCTATTTAATTATTTTAAGTTGTTTATCAAACCCTTGACCCATCCCTTTTCCAAATAAAAATTTGGTCTGGGTTTCAAAACATTCCACGCGAACACATTCTTTGATCTTAGATAGAAATAGGATAGTGTGGAGGATTATACTTAGCATAAATGAAATTCCCAGTAAAAAAAAAAAAAACACCTAGAAGGATAATAGATTGATAAATGAAGTTACGGTGATAACAACATTCAATGAAAAATTACAGCACAATATAGACAACTAAGATACTTTAACCTGAACAGTTTTAACATTCTGAGCTATACCTTTCAGTTCAGTGTACTCATTCTAATAAAAGGGGAAATGCCTAGAAGACATCACCCAAGCAAGCACAATTCTACACCGTTATAATATATAAGCATAGTATAAAAGATTGAAGATCATAATTTATTTGTGTTCATAATACAATTAATTCAAAGAATTTGCAAAAGGTGAAAATGAGACTTACTAGTCTTCCCACTGCTAGCCTTCTTAATTCATCACCACTTTCATAAACATGCCTTAGAGCTGCTGGAAGAACTTTCCAGAATTCGTTGACAAACTCACTACCATTTCGCTTACTATTTTGCAAGATGTCATTAGCCAAGTATAGAAAAGAGAGACGCCGCTCCTTCTGGGAAGCATTGAATAATTTATCCCAGGTTTCAACAATTTCTCTTGCTCTCTCCCGGTGAGATATACACCAATTGGACAATGCTAAATTATTGATTAAGGAAAACATATAGCAACACCAATCTCAATAGAAAACCAAAAAGAGGAAGGGGGAATAATGTGAAGGAAATTAGATCGCAATCACAATCAAATTCAACCGAGTGAACTTAGTGAAGAAAAATGAGCAAAATGTTATTATCATAATTCTGGTACAAACAGATAGCAACATACATCTCAAACAAATCTAAACAAGTTGTGTTTGGCTTTTCAATCTTAGTGATTTGCAAAGGGACAAAACCGATCATTAGTTACAAATAATCTTTAGTTGGTTTCCTTTGTTTTGCTGCTTTAGTTCGTTTACAGTATTCACTGCCCCCCAAGCTTCATACTCCTCTCTTTCTCTGAATAAAAAATTCTTCATTCTTAAAATGTTATTGAAAAATTTTAAAGATTGAACGAAAAAATTAATTTGTTGTCGTGAGTTAATAAAATAACCTAGTAATGTGAAGAAAATTAAAAATACAATGGGAAGAAAAGGTGGAAACTTCTACATGAGCAGGAAATAATGAGCCAAGGGGCAGAAGAAAACTACAACCCAATTTCTTTGCATAACAGTATTAGCAAGTCCATCAAAACAACCACAAATAAAACTTGTGTCGAGTAACTAATACAAGCCAAAAAGATGTTCATGTCCCACCAAAATGAATAAAACACAAGAGCAAAGAGATATTTCCAAAAATTAATTAATCCCAACAAATTCTCCATATAACTGCATACACGGTAAATACTAAAACATCTTCATGAACATGTTAACAAGAAATGTTCCACCACAAGTGGACACCCACCCCCAAATTTCACTAGTCCCCCAGAAGAAGTTATTCAAAAACGTTTAATGAAAAATTAGTGTACCATTATGAAGAACATTCTTTACATGTTTAACTTGAGGATGAGTTCAGCAACCTGAAAAGATATGACTATAACCTTCAGAATTCTTTCATCAAATCCCCCACCCCTCAGTTTCAGTTGACAAATACCATCATTGTCTGTACTGACAATTTCTTTTTCTTAGTTACATTGCTTCTTCAGCCTTTGCTTCATGAGAATTCCTTATGAATTTTCTTGCTTTATACTACGTCCAGTCATAAATAACAAATAATTAATTCATCAAGATCAATGAAAATAGTCAATTTTAGTTAATAATGTCATAGATTTAAATCCTATACAGGAACCCATAAAACTAAATGATTTAAGGGTGATTATATTTAATGACACTACTATAATCCAAGGAATATATATTTTTCTACCAATGAGCGTGGCTTAAATTGTTAATAAGCCAATAAATGCATCCCTTGCACAAATGGGAAGTGAAATGGTTTTTCATTAATAGATTTCACAATTGATGGAGGGTATAAAAGGACTTAGAAACTAATGTATTTGAAAATGGGTTCTTATAATGATGAGGAACAAAAAATGCACTAATTTGATACTTATATAAAGGGACAAATATGGTACTCAGTAAGGGTTAAAAGCAAGTTAGAGATCTAAAATACTGATATTCACTTGTTTTTATTTCAAATGAAAACAAAGTGTACCGTCATATAGAAAATTTTAACCAAAAAAATATAACACAAAGCTTCCTGTCAAAACCACAATAAACAAAGCTTCAAGAGCTGCTACAGTTTTCCTTCACCTATGAACACAAGCAGGGATGTTTAAACAAATAAATAAGGTGCAACCATCCTTCCTATGATCACATAAAGAGACAAGAGTTATTTAAGACCCAAAATACCTGCTTCCCAGCAATAAACACAAAATAAATCATTTAGGAAATATTTTCATGGTACCTCTTTAAACAAATAAATAAAGGATAAATTCAAATACACTTCTCCATAAACACTTTTGAGAGATTAAAAGAAGAAAAATTAAATAACATTTTCCATGAGCTAAAATTAGTTTATGCATAAAATTTGTAGAAACTATATCTCATATACTCTCTCCAAAATTTGATTTTTAACTTGTGTATATCTTATAGAGAAACTTATTTCATTTTTTTCATCTTTTTTTCTTCTAATGGTGCATATGGACAAAGTTGTCCAAACAGACCCAAATTGTAAGGGGCAATTTTCAACATATAAACTCAACATAATAAGAGCTAACAATGTATAGGTATTGCAAGTGAAAACGAAAGCATAGTAACATCACATCCGTTGTCTACCAAAATTTACACATGTCCTATTCATTCAAAAAAGAAATTTTAACTCTCCACAGGCAACATTCAACTCAAGCTGTCAAGAAAACAAATTTTACAACAAGATGATTTAGTTACATTTCTTTAAATCTATTTTTCAAAACCAATTGAAGCCACAGTGCACTATTGTTACAATTGTTTCATGTAATGAATGAATCATGCCACAGAGATCTTATTTACAAAAATAATTTATCAACAACCTGATAATGCAGACATAACCAAACAGAAAATTGTCACTAAAAACAAAAACACTAAAGAAAATAGGTATCAGTGATGGATACATTGAATGCTTTGTTGTGAAGTGTTGAGTTTCGACAACTTCTTAGCAAACACCTGTCCATCAAATATGTTGTCGCTCATATTGCCTTTTTACAAGCTTCACATATCCTGGAGATTTTCCTACAATTTACATGAATGCAATGTCAAAGACAGATATTGGAACCAAAAAAAACGAAAAAAAAAAAAAACATATTGAAAATCAGATAAATCAATCATTAAGGAAAGCCAAATCATCTTTGTTAAAATAGAGATATTGGACCAAATACCGTGTGTGCGAGTAACTTAAGGATATGAGTTGTTTATAGACACATTAAATTTATTATGCAAAAATATAGGATATTGTTTCTGCTAAATAAAGATTAGTTAGCTATAATAATAAACAAAATATTATTTTTTTTATTCTCAACATCCTTCCTCAAGTTGTAGCATATACATAATATGTATTAAATATGTTACATATGTAGCCAATTTTTTATCCCCTAATAGATTTGGTGAAGATATCTATCACTAGTCATTAGAATTGACAAAGCTTGTGACAGTATTGATTTCGAGAAATAAGACTCTTGCCTAGGCCACTATTAATGTACTTCAATATCCAATTCCCTACATCTCAATGATCTTGACAAGGATAGTTCAAGAATTGGCTCAACAAACGCAAAAAAGAAAATATATAAATGAATGATTGTAAAATAGTTTAATTTACCAAACAATCTCCTATAGTTTCCAAGATCATAAGGGCTTCCCCTTATTTGATTTGACATTAGGATTCATTAGTGTCCACAAATTTAGCATTAAAAACGCAAGTTTCTTCCAAGATATCAAGGCATACTTCCTCTAGGAGATTATTAATCCATATTTCGATTTTGGAACTTCTACAGCTAGGAATCATAGAAATTTCCTAGGTCTTTAGTCTGGAATTGGAGAGAGAGGTAACACTCCAGGTTGCACTCCACGGTCCACATAGACAATGACATAAATGTTTCCCTTAAGTGAATGGCAACAGCAGAAAAAGTGGTCAGCTTCACTAAGAATCAAACTAAATTGTTGTACAGCAGTCTGATAGGGCAAATCATGTTCGAAAGGATTGTTTTAAGACCATATAGGGACTTGTGAAACTCAGAAACCATATTAGAGGACTTTCACTGAGCTATAGGTGAATGTTCCATTTATACTTCTTCATCAAGATCAACATGGAATAGAGCATTTTTAATAACAAGTTGAAAGAGTGGCTCGAATTGCAGCCATAGAGAATAATAGTGAATAGATGTCATCTTGGCCACTAGAGAAAAAGTATCAACGTAATATTGCTCATACACTTAGGTGTAACCTTTTGGCATCAAAGAAGCCTTCAATCAATCTATGGTCCCGTCAATCCCAACTTCAAGGATATAAAGCCAACAAAAACCACTGGTTGGAGAAAGGGGCCAAATCCTAGGTGTCAATGCTCTACAGTGCACACATCTCATTAGTCATTTATCCATTTGTTTCATAGGGGCTTTAATTGATTTTTAGAAGAATATTACATGAGAGAAAGTATGGTTACAAGAAGGATAAGATATTTTGGACATATTTAATAAGAATAAGAATAATAAGGTATACAACAAAGTTTCTCAATCTTAATACATAAATTAAATGGCAACTCCCATGAAACTCTCATTAGTATAGTACGCCAAAAGTGACCATTAAAACAATACTATCCTGTACAAATCAACTAGATATACAAACCTAACCCACCAAATATACATTTTCATATTAGTGATGTAAGACAGTTCATTACTTAACTCTACTCATGAAAATTACTGGCTAGCGGGCAGTTTTTGAATCCCTTGATACTGTCAAGTTCCAAGAATATTTTGATTGATATAGAAGAGTTCTATTAACTATTACTTTGGTAGTTGAGGTGTTGGGTAGTTGAGGTAGTTGTAGTTGAGGCGCTATATTTATTACTAGGGTAGTTGTGGTCTCTAGTGTACTCTATAAATAGAACATTCTTGTACTGCTTTGAATTAAGAAGCAGAACTACAATTTTCTCTTCTTTAGTATCTTCAATCTTTCTTCAGTTGGAATCAAAGCTCTTGATCTTGGGGGCTCTACTTCCACATTCAAACCCCGGCCGCCACAGTTGCAGATTGCGTTGTCTGAAGTACCCCCACTTGTTTTGGGATTGCCTGAAATACTCCCAATTAACTTGTGCCTATTTCAACCCTTGTCATCATCACCACCATAACCATCATGTCAAAGTTCTTTTTTCTATCGAAAATCCCTTCAGAAGCCTCACCTTGATTTTACTTCACTCTGTTCAATATTCCTATTGAATATTCCTTCTTTTTTAAATATTTACTAGTATGGCTACTAGACCATCTTAAACTACCTATTAGTTAAGCAATGTTAATCTTTTGTATTTGCCTGAAGATAATTGTCTCGATGGTACAAATTATCTTCTGTCAACCCAATTCAAAAAGGGAGAAACACGACTCTTAAGTGTGACCCATTCTCTTAAAGTTTGACCCATTCTCACCCCCTTGATGAATAGAGAAGACAAAACAACCAATAACAACGAAAAGTGACGTGAACCATCACAAATGAACATAAACTGTGAGCAATTATAACTAGCAGTGAGATGAACAGTGCAAACAGCCCCAATCAGCAGGTCACACCAGCAGCAAACAACAGCAAATTGGGCCCGAAACTTTACCAAAAGAGTACACAAAAGAAGCAAGATCAAACCCGCTCTAATTCCAAGTTGAACAATAATATATAGTAATTGCTAGAGTGAAAAAGTACTCAGCAACCTTTTCTTTAAATTGATTCAAAAGTTTTACATTTAATACTAGTAAAGGGCAGTAAGTAAAACATTTTCCTAACAGCTACATGAATCTGGACAACCATGTCCCTTAATACACCCATTTGCAACATATGTGAAGTTGTAAACCAGACTTGCCCTTAGTAAGTTGGTAGCATGTAGTGAATTTCCTCCAAAGAGTACCCAATAGATATTTACCACCAAAATCAATCATTTCAATAAACAGATGGATCTTCACTTTCTTCCACTTCAACAACAACAGCAATTAAGCCTTTGTCCTACTAAGTGAAATTGAGTACATGAATCAAATAACACTCTAATTTTCTATTGTCAATCATGTCTACAGACAACCAATTTGATCAAAAATTCCCGCATTATCTCCTATACCCTATAAGCAACCTGGACAAGAAGCCACAGCAGATATCCATAAAAAAGAGGATTTCTAGACCAACACACATCACAAAGGTTAATACATCAACCTTTGTTGTTTGGAAAATAAATTAATTAATAAAAAGAAGAATTCCAATTATCCGTGCTTAAAAATCATTTGCTGTTTGGACCAGGATCATGACACTTAACACAGCTCAAGGTCAAGGATTACAACCAGGAACTTCAAAATACGCAAGAAGAAATTATAAAATCTGGCACACAGCTAAAGATACGAGGGAAGGAAAATTAGGAGAGCCTACATGAAATTAACAAACAGGAAAAAGAATATTCACAAATTTTTAGTACAATACAGTTGACTCTTCGAGAAATGAGATTTTG